TGTTGAACTTAGTGATATGGTTCAGTGGAGGACTGCTTAGTGTTAGGTCAGAGGTTGGACTAGGTGATCTTGAAGGTCTCTTCCAACCTAGATGATTCTGGGATTCTGTGATCATCTAGTCAAACCTTCTTCCATAGACAGGGACAATTTCCATTAGATTAGGTTGCCCAAATTCACCTGCCAACTGGCCTTGAACAAGGGCTCACCTTTCTTGGGTGAGAGATTAAGCAAAGGTTTGTTGGGAGGATTTGGTGTTCTGCATAGGGTGTCAGGTCTGTGGCTGGGGTATGGACAAACTTCATGGTTTCTGTTTTTATTTTAGTTCTGCCAAGAAGTCATCTAGGGTTAAAAAAAGTGTTTTAATGATAATGTAAAGGAAGAGATTAGGGTGAGCAAGAGACTAAAGGTAAGGGAAAGGGGCTATGGGCTGAGTTCTGCTTGAAGGGATACTCTGAGGTCAGGTATTACTGCAGGGGATTTCTGTCAAGGTGTTGGAGCAACATTCAGGTTTTGGGATTAGGGTTACTGGTCAAAATAGTGTAAGGGTTTTACATGACTGTTTTAAGCCAGTTTTAAAGCACCATCAACATTACATGAAACCTCTTACCTCTACAAAATCATTAATTTCTGCTTCCCAAGCTCCTCTTCCCTCCCGCAAATCTCACTTCTCTGGTGGCCAGGCTTCTCCTGTTGTCCTCATATTGATTATCTTATTGGGATCAGCTTTCTGGTGGCTTTCATGGTCTCAGAGTATCTGTCTCACTCTGCCGACTACTCTGTTCCTGAGACAGAAGTGGTGTTGTAGTCAGTAGGGAAAAGGGCACAAAGTTCTGTAGGAGCATCCTGCACATGCCCATCAGCTCTGCGCCTCTACAAAAATGTACATCCTATATACAAGCGTTGGTTCCAGAATGACTCCTATGGATCCAGGGTAACATTTTGCAGGCCTTCGTGCAGGATTTACCTCCTCTCAGGCATCTTGGAGGCAGTAGCCATCCCTAAGGAGAAAACTAATAACAGCTATGAGGTATGAGTTTAGTCAAAATTTGAGATCTCTGACATGACAACCAGAGGTGTTGCTCTGCAGAGCGAGGGGGCTGTGGTGCCTGGCACACGGGGGCACTCTGCAGGGCTGTGCTGGGCAGGCTGGGAGGCAGACCCAGCTCATGGGGTCACTGCCATTGCCCCAGGGCTGCAAGGAATCACTCGCCAGGCTCCTTTGCTGGGGCTGCTGCGTGCCCTGGGGCTGCAGAGCTCTCCTCTGCCTGCTCACACCAGACTGAGCACTTGAGCTCTGGTCAGTCCACCTCGGACAGGCTTTTGGTCTGTGGGCTCCATTCACTGCTGTCTCCTGGGCTCACGCTGCTGCCCCTGCATATATCTCCAAATGCTTTGCACACACCACACTTGCCTGCAGGTCCCATGTGTCTCTCCAACCTTCCCCTCTTCTCCTGCAGTAGTGGCATCTCACTGGAGGAGGTTTGTGCATCCCCCTTAGCACATGGTCCCCTCAGATTTGAGGGCATTGCAGAGCCCTCCTTAAGCCCATGGATTCCTCAGATTCGTCTTTTCCTTTACCAGACCTTTCATTGGACGGTCACTCATTTTATGAAGTTTTCTATTCACTGTGCACTGAGCTCGTTTTCCCTGGGTTTCCCTGACATCTTCTGGCAGCTCCAGATTCTTCTCCAGGATGGCATCGGCCACCTCCACTGCGGGGGGCACAGTCCAGTGCTGATGAGTCCAAGACCAGTTGCTGTCTGCTTGGGGAAGTGCCACCACAAATTGAGCTCTGGGTCCACCACTTTGTTCCTTCACAGACCCCCTGGGACTTGGAGGAGATGGGAAGAGGCGGCAGCTGACACCCACAAAGTTCACAGCTTCTTTATTCTATTTATCCACAAAGAACCCAGTTCTGTAGGTATATTAGATGATTGGGTGACAGATAATAAAATAATTAATACGCAGGATGACAAGAGTAGAATTCAGTCAAAATGACAAGTTTAAGAAATAATTTTAAAAATAATAGAAGAATTACAAGCTGTTGTATGCAGAGGTTTTTCAGAAAACCTGTCTGTCCTGTTTGTTTTATAGGCACATTATTGGTGCCAAAGTAGCATGTGTCCAAAGAGTTTCCACAAGGCTTCCTTGAGTCCCTGGTTCCTCATGCTGTAGATGAGGGGGTTCAGTGCTATAGGCACCACCATGTACAGAACTGACATGGAATATTCTCTGCAGGGGCTACTTGCACTGCTGCAGCTCATTTCTCTGACCCAGCCACAGGAGCTGGAACAGCTGCAGAAGCAGGAGCTGGAGCGGCTGCAGGGTCCATCGTAGGGGTCGGAGTGGCCGTTGGGTCTGTCCCAGGACTTGGAGTGGCTGCAGGGTCTGTCACTAAGTTGGTAGTAGTATCAGCTGCAGCTCAATAGGCATGGGCCAGACCCCAGCACACTCCAGTGATTTGTGTCACTTTGGAACTGCCAGAGTCATGACACCTGTTTTTCAAGAATTCTACCAGTTTTTTAGGATTTTGCAGTTGTTCAGGGGAGAATTTCCAAAACACTGGAGGTGCCCACTGCTCTAGAAACCTGCCCGTATCCTCCCACACTCCCTGCCACTCACAAGTGTCCCGCCTCAGGACAGATCTCTGGATAAAATTCGGAAGTGTTTGTTTAACCTTAAACAAAACCTGAAGCACATTCAGGAGACATAACAACAAGAACATGTTTGTGTCCTGGTTTCAGTTAGCACAGAATTAATTTTCTTCCTAGTAGCTGGTGGAATGCTGTGTTTTGGCTTAGGATGAGAAGAGTGCTGATAACACCCCGATGCTTTAATTGTTGCAGAGCAGTGCTTATACTAAGCCAAGGACATCTCAGCCTTTTGCTCTGTCCTGCCAACGGGCAGGCTGGGGGTGCAGTAAGAGCTGGGAGGGGACAGAGCCAGGACAGGTGACCCAAACTAGCCAAAGGGGTATTCCATACCATCTGACGTCATGCTAAACAATATATAGGGGTAACTAACCGGGGGAAGGGGGCCGGACTGCTCGGGGTTAGGCTGGGCATCGGTCAGCGAGTGGTGAGCAATTGCATTGTGCATCACTTGTTTGTACATATTATTATTACTTTCCTATTATCACCATATTATTATTATTGTTATTATTGTTATTATTATTTTGTTATTATTATTTTCCTGTCTTATTAAACTGTCTTTATCTCAACTCACGGGCTTCACTTTCCATTTCTCTCCCCCGTCCCAGAGAGGGAGGGGGGAGGGTGAGCGAACGGCTGCATGGTGTTTAGCTGCCGGCCGGGTTAAACCACGACAGCTTGTCTGAGTGTCCCAAGGATATTCAACATCTTGGAGAACTATTGTACCAAGCTCGGAGGATAAGAGGGAGGTGAAGGAGAAAGGAAGGTTGAATGAGTAAGAAAAAATGTCTCCTTCTTTCCCCTCCACAGATTGGCTCCCTGACAAAAAAAAAAAAGGCAATAGGTGTAATTGCTAATAATTTCCGAGATATGGTTTCCAAAGTATAGAGTCGACGACAGTGCTGAGTACAAATACCAGGTTACGGTCAGGACCAGAAATTTCATCATATCATAAGCCACTGTTACACCGCACAATACCATATCGATCTTAAACCAGGGCCCGGAAAGGATAAACAGCATGGCAGGGAGCACATACAGAAAGTAAAGTGCTATAATACTCAGTTTGGAAAACAGGTACAGCAGACTTGAGATTAAAGCAATCAGTATTGTGACAAGCAACTATTAATCAGGTCTAATACTTTTACCAATTTTAGTTCAACACACTCTGGTCAGATCTGTCATTATCTCAACCCTATGAGCGCCAAGATGACTGATATGGTTTAGCCCAGCTGGCAGCTAAACACCACACAGCTGCTTGCTGCCCCCTCCCTCTCTGGGATGGGGGAGAGAAACAGGAAAGTGAAGCCTGTGAGTTGAGATAAAGACAGTTTAGTAAGATGGGAAAATAATAATAATAATAACAACAACAACAATAATAATAATAATAATAAACAATAATAATAACAATAATGATGATAACAGTACTACTAATAACGTGTGTGGAACAAATGATGCACAATGCAATTGCTCACCACCCGCTGACCGATGCCCAGCCTAACCCCGAGCAGCCTGGCCCACCCACCCCATCTAGCCACTCCTATATATTGTTCAGCATGATGTCAGAAGGTATGGAATACCCCTTTGGCCAGTTTGGGTCAACACTCCTGGCTCTGTCCCTTCCCAGCTCCCACTGCACCCCCAGCCTGCATTCTGGCAGGACAGAGTAAGAAGCTGAAATTTCCTTGGCTTGGTATAAGCACTGCTCTGCAACAAGTAAAACATCAGCATGTCATCAACACTCTTCTCATCCTAAGCCAAAACATAGCACCCTAGCAGCTCGTAGGAGGAAAATTAACTCTGTCCTAATTGAAACCAGGACATATATCCACCCCTTATTCCATACCATTTATGTTATGCTAAGATTACACTCCCTACAAGTCCACATCCTGCTGCTGGCCATGGCCATGGCTCCAGGGAAGCAGCAGCCCCGACCCAAAGGCAGCAGAGAGGCAGAGCCCAGCGGGCAGTGAGGGGCAGCCCCGAGGACCACCGGGGCTGCTCCTGCATGTGGCAGCTGGGCTTTTGGTCCTGAGCCCCTCCTGCATGCTGGGGCTGCACTCCAAGCTCCAGAGACAATGGGAAGAGAGGGATACTGAGATCAGTTCGTTTCTGATAGCTTCTTTATTATCTTTATTTACAATGGAAGACTAGTACAATGGGTAGATTAGATGATTTGGTCAAAGTATATAAATTAATTAACAGGCAGGATGTTAAGAATAACATTAGTGAAATAATGATAAAAATGAAATTACATGGATCACAATAATTTCACATAATTATGGTTATATATTATAAACACATTATTAATGCTTCAGAGGCATGTATAGGAAAAGTTTCCTAACTCCATACTTTAGGTCCTTGTTTCTCATGCTGTAGATGAGGGGGTTCACTAATGGAGGTACCACTGAGTACAGAAACGCCACCACCAGGTCATGGGATGGGGAGGAGATCGAGGGGGGCTTCAGGTAGGCAAACATGGCAGTGCTGACCATCAGGGAGACCACAGCCAGGTGAGGGAGGCACGTGGAAAAGGCTTTGTGCCGGCCCTGCTCAGAAGGCATCCTCAGCACTGCCCTGAAGATCTGCACATAAGAAAATGAAATGAAAATAAAACATGCAAAGGTTAAACATAGACTAACTTCAAGAAGGACAACCTCCCTGAGGCATGTCTCTGAGCAAGATAGCTTGAGGATCTGGGGGATTTCACAGAAGAACTGGTCCACAGCATTGCCATGGCAGAGGGGCAGGGAAAATGTGTTGGCCGTGTGCAGGACAGCATTGAGAAAGCCACTGCCCCAGGCAGCTGCTGCCATCTGGGCACAAGCTCTGCTGCCCAGGAGGCTCCCATAGTGCAGGGGCTTGCAGATGGCAACGTAGCGGTCATACGACATGATTGTGAGAAGATAAAATTCTGATGCAATCAAGAAGACATACAGAAAGACCTGTAAAGCACATCCTTGATAGGAGATGGCCCTGGTGTCCCAGAGGGCATTGGCCATGGCTTTGGGCAGAGTGGTTGAGATGCAGCCCAGGTCAAGGAGGGCGAGGTTGAGGAGGAAGAAGTACATGGGGGTGTGGAGGCGGTGGTGGCAGGCTACGGCGCTGAGGATGAGGCCGTTGCCCAGGAGGGCAGCCAGGTAGATGCCCAGGAAGAGCGCAAAGTGCAGGAGCTGCAGCTCGCGCGTGTCTGCGAATGCCAGCAGGAGGAACTCGCTCACAGAGCTGATGTTGGGCATTTTCTGACATTCTCTGTTGGAGAGAAAAAGGTAGAACAAAGTTAGAACTGATTTGGATGAGGAATACCTATTACAAGTCTTAGAGAACCCCCAAACACAGCCTCTCTCTTTGCAGCAGAACCTTTCTGCAGCTCTCCTGCTCGAGTTGTGGCTGGTGCTGGCTGAGAGTGGCACTGGGCGCAGGGGCCTCTATGGGCTGCAGAGGAGTTCTACCTGCAGCAGTAGGGAATCAGGAACATGGGGGAAACTCGAGTTCAGTCCACTTGTCAAGTCAATGAGTTTGCAGAATTTTCTTGCAAACAACTCATCTGAATGCAGAGCAGAGCTGCGGTGTTTTACTTGCTTTAATGTTATTGGGTTGCCTCTGTAACGCTTAGGTGAATTATTGGATGGTTGAATGCTGTGACTTTTCATGTGTGCTTCTGGTCAAATCCTGCGGATGCCAGGAGGCAAAAGGACTGTCCCTTGGTGAAGACTGAGCAGAGCAGATCTGCCTAGCAGTGAGCTTGGGCACGAGAAGAAACTGGAGACATCTGAGAGCAGAGAAGCCTGACTCAAAAGGCAGATGGACAGAATCCTCACCTTATCTCCAGGTGTGTGATCAGGATCTCAGCTCTTCCTTCCTAGCCAGGGCTGCAGAAGCCTCAAACCAGCTGCCCACAGACAGCCATCCAGCAGCACGGACATGGCCTTAGCAAGGAGGTGTCTTCTCCTTGGGGCACCTGGATAACACAAGGAAGCCACGAGAGAGCTGCAACCTGCCGGAGGGAAGCCTGCAGCCCAGGAGGATGCCCCACAGACAGAGTTGGATATCTGCAAGCTTTCGTGTGCCAATATCCTAGATGCACTCCTGCAGTGTTCTAGCCACCCCTGTCTTATCTGACCAGGGGCAGCTGGGTTATAACACTCCAAGGGGTTTCTGCTAGACTTCCTCACCTCGCACTGCAACCCAGCAGGACTCTCAAAGCCTACTGCATTGCCCACTGCCCTCCCAGAAACAAGACCCAGCAGGAGACCCTCCCAGGACCTGCAGCTGCATGGCCCTGCAGCCAGACCCTTACCTTGTCAAGGGCTGTGCATGTTTCTCCTGCAGGCAGCTCTCAGCATCCTCCCACTGCCAACTGCCTTCAGTCCCTCTCTTCTTTTCTTCTCTCTGTGTCTGTGCCTCTGTGTCTCTTTCCTGCTGCGTTGTGCAGAGGAGCTGCTCCTGGGCAGAGCTGTCTCTCTGCTTCATGGGACTTTTTAAAATGTGTTTTCTCATGTCCCAGGAGCCCAGCCCAGTTCAGCAGCAGAGGCCTAGCCCAAGGTATTATAATCACCACTCTGGTGGCTTTGCTGATGAGCCCATGAGAAGCCAATTAGGATCTGGTGTTTTAATGATTATCTGTCTCCTCAAAAGCATTAGTGGAAGAGACAATAGCCATAGCCATGGACCTAAATATCTCATAAGTCAGCTTTGTAGGAAGCTTGCCTGGCTCCTGGTGATAAGGCACAACTGCTCGTATGGCATCCTTGTGGTGGAAACCACTCCTGAAGTAGGCATCCCAGCCCAGCAGAATCCTTGCGGCCTCTCAACCAACCAGACACAAGTCACCTCAGCAGCAGCTTCCAAGCCAGGGGCCTGCTGCTGGCCTTGCAGCTTCTTGGCTAGACACAGCCAAGCCTTGTGCCTGCTGCTGTGCAGTCATGGACTCAAGCTGAAGGGACAGGACAACCCATGTTGGGGCTTTCTTTCTGTCTGGGTCCTCCTGGGTGTGTAGGCAGAAGGGATCCCACAGTCAGCATGCCAAGCAGGTGCCTTGTCTTCTCAAAAGTCAAGGGTTTCCTACCACTTACATGCAGAGGTGACCTCACAGTCCCATTCCGTGACACGTTCCTGCTGCTGCCCTATCAAGTGCAAAGACAGAAGTGACCTCACAGTCCCTGCCACAGTCACATTCCTGCTGGGGCCTGAAATCCTGAGGTAGAGCTGACCTCTCTCTTGTCTCGTAGGGACTAGATTTTACCTTTCTGGGTTAGAGATTAAGCAAAGTTTTTGTTGAAAGATATGGTGTTCTGTTAGTGCTGTCACGTTTCTGGTTATGGTATGGGCAAGCATTGTGGTTAAGGGTTTTGTTTATGTCTGGCAAGAAGTCTAGGGATAAATAGAGCATTTTAATGTTAGTGATAAGGGCAGGGATTAGGGTGAGCAAGAGAGTAAGGGAAGGAATGGGGGCTATGGTCTGAGTTTTTCTTCAGGTGGTATTTTGAGTTCTGCTTTCCAATAGTGGATTCCTGTCAGGAAGCTGCACTAATGTTTAGGTTTAAGGATTATTGTTATTTTTGAAAATAGTTTACAGGCCCTACAAGAATGTCTGAAGTCAGTGTTAGAGCAGCATCAACATTGCATGAACCATCTTACCTCTACAAAGGTAAGGTTCCAAGCTCCTCTTCACTTCTTCTTCCCGTACCCCTATCTGACATCTCTCCTGGCCAGGCTACTCTTGACCTCTCCATAGCAGTCATCTAACTGGGATCAGCTTTCTGATGGTTGTCATTATATCAGAGCACCTGTCTCACCTCCGTTAGCTACTCTATTCCGTAGTATTAGAATACTCTATACTTTGTTGCCTATTCTATTCTGTTCCTCACAAAGCCTCCCATGGGAATTGTTAGGGCAGATAATTGGAAGCCATGATTTCAGATTGGCAAAGGCACTGTGCTGAGAAAATCTCAGTTTATTTTGTTGAAGCAGAAGGGCCAAGGCCTGACCCCAGCCACTGGGAGGGGAGATTCTATAACCCCAGCACCCCTATGTCTCACTCAGGGCTCTTCCTGGGGTTTGTGGGGTAGGGGGAGATGCCCACAATACCATATGTGAAGGGCAATGGTATGACACCTTCCAGCATTTGCACAGGGTTGAAAGGAGAATTCATGGTCCCAATGCCATGAGTATAACACGTCTCCTCCTAAGCCATGGCCAAGGGGACAAAGATGTGAGTGCTGCTGCAGCCTTCCATTCTTGTCAGAGCCTTCTGCCTTCTCCTCTGCATGCTTTCTTGTGCTGTCCCACACTTCCCTGAAGGCTGCAGACAACCACTTCTCTTCCCCACCTTGCTCTCACTCTGCTGTTCCCATGATTTCACTGCTGCCTCTCCACTCTCACCAGCTGTTCCTTCAAACACAAGGCCATGGGCTGATCCAAACTCCCCCTGGGTGATCTCTGGACCCACAGCACCAGTTCCAGTGCCTCACCTTTAAGTCAAGAATTTCATCTGACTATCTACTCTAAATGTACCCTCTTTAAGTTTAAAACCACTCCCCTTGTCCTACCATAGAATCAGAAATCATAGAAACACAACGTTGGAAAGGACCTACAGGATCATTTAGTCCAACTATCACTAATTCTACACACTAAGTTACAAAGTCATATCTCCTAGCACCTTGTCCTGGTGCTTCTTGAACACTGCGAGGGTTGGTGACTCCAGCACCTCCTTGGGCAGACCATTCAGGTGCCTGACTATTCTGTGAGAGAAAAAGGTTTTTGTGATATCTAATCTAAATCTCCCTAGGCACAACTTGTAGCCTTTTCCTCAAGTCCTATCATTAGTTATCTGAGAGAAGAGGCTGACCCCTCTTATATGTGGAAGAAGCTTTTTCCTTTGAGGCCTCACCATCCTCAGAGGAAAAAGCTTCTTTCATATATCCAATTTAAACCTACCCTCTTTTAGTTTAATATCATTTCTCCTTGTCCCATCACTACACTCCCAGACAATGACTGTCTCCCCAGCTTTCCTGTAGGTCCTCTCTAAGTACTGGAAGATTGCTCTAAGGTTTCTCTGGTGCTGAGTAGTACCAGTTTTCAGAAATGTGTTGTATAGCACATTACTTGCTGCCTGTGTTCCCATTGTGCTCTTTGTCATTTCTGGGTCTGGTTTAAAGATATTTTGCTATGTTGTGTAGCACTGGCTTATGATTCTATAAAATTTTTGGTCATGTGACAAATCCTTTCTTTGTACTGAGCACTGCCATTACCTCCATACCTCAGGAACCATCACTCAGAAACTTAAGAATTATACTCTTGACTTTTTTGCTTTAAGGAGCCAATCTAGGGGGAGAAACAGGAGCGACACTTCTCCACTTCTTCACTCTCTCCTTTACCTTCCCCTTCTCCTCCAGGCTAATTACACTACCTCTACAAAGCTGAGAACATCACTGGCATGGTCCTATTGTGATGTCTCCTGAATGTGTTTCAACTTTTGTTTAAGGATAAACAACTCTTGAAGAATGCCCTCCAGAGACCTGTCCCAAGGCTGGAGAGTGAGGAGTGGCAGGGAGCATGGGAGGATCTGGGCAGGCACCTAGAGCAGTGGGCACCTCCGGTGCTTTGAAACTTCCCCCCTGAGCACTTGCAGAATCCTTAAAAGCTGCAGAATTGCTTGAAAAGGAGAGGTTATCACCTTGGCAATTCCAAAGGGAATCCCAAAGGGAACCTCCGTCAGTGCCACTCCAAGCCCTGGGACAGGCCCTGCAGCTACTCCAACACCTCTGACATGTCCCGCAGCCACTCCAGCCACTCTGACAGGCCCAAGACTAGACCAGACCCCTGGTTCTGCTCTTGCTAGGCCAGAGCACCAACCTGTGCCAGGATTCGTTCCCTCTATATGCAGGAGAAAACAGAGGGTGTGAAAATCAGGCCCCTGAGAATGGAAGAGAACTACTGCCCAGAAAAGAAAGGAGGGAGAAGAATGTTGATCTATGAAACCTTGACATAAACTTCCCCACGAGAGGGTACTTCCAAGATCCCAAAGGGTACAGCTGGAGTTTTGGGATAGCTGCCTTGGAGAGAGAGGATGTTAAAG